GGGGGGGGGGGGGGGGGGGGGGGGTACGGGCCTCTAGCCTACGAGTACAAGAGTGAAACATACTCGTACGAGGGTGCGTACAAGTCGCAATGTAGGTTCATAGTAACCTCGTTTATGCATGCCTTTACCGAGAGTGCAATGAAATTTGGTCCTGCACCAGAAAATGCCCCATTGCACCGTGCGCTATGCGAACTCGAAGATCCATTTGAAATAAAAACATAACGGCCACCTCTAAATCGTCGCACTGGTAGTCAAACCTAACGTAAGTCATAGCGATGCCGCCTCCCGCACATACATACTCGCTGCAACTTGATGTATTAACTAAAGGAAAATCCCATTTAATCATAATTTAATCAAAACCAATATATTAATCGGAAGATGTGTTAATTCGAAAATATCAACAAGGAAAAATCACTGGCTCCTCAGAACTGCACGCCCATGCACTCCCTCCTTTTAGTCAAACATTTTGTCAGTGTAAAATAAAATACATCTCCGACTCTCGCGGTGCACTTTTGTACCAACTGGCTAGGCTCGTTGGTCTTACTTCCGATCTCGGTACAGGTATCGAGTATGAGAAAACGGAACAACAAATAATAAATCATAAAAATTAAATAATTAAAAGTCAGCAACAATAATAAAAGCGGAAAAGGAAGGAGGGAGGAACACCGTTGGTACCTTTATTGGCCCCGCTAGTGGGGCCTCTGCTCAGGTCTGACGACAAAACCAAGGGGGATAGGCTGGATAGCCCAATGGGACCCTCAACTCCTCGGCTTTTCAAGATGCTCCATTGCTCCTTCGTTGTCCGTTGTTGGCATCGACCCCTATATATGTTGCATTAAATTACGACGCAGTAACCGAAGTGTTAGGCCCATGGTTGAACTTATTGGGGGCAAACTTGTATAAAGGAGTAATTTGCACCATGTTACGGCTTGTGAAAACACACCAAGGCCACGCCTTAGCCTATCGCCCGAACCCATGACCGCTGCATCTGTATCTACCACGCGGACG